GGAGGTTTGTTTTGTGGCCTAAGACATAGTCTGTTCTGGAAAATGTTCCATGTGCACTGGAAAAGAATGTGTATTGTGCAGTTGTTGGGTTGAATGCTCTGTGCACATCTGTGAGGTCCAGTTAGCTGATTGTGTTGTCTAGTTCTTCTGCGTCTTTGTCAACTTTCTTTCTGGTTGTTCTATTGATTTTTGAAAGCAGTGTATTAAAATCACCCACTACTATTGTAGATTCTTCTATTTCTTTCTTCAAGTCTGTTAGAGTTTGCTTTATATATTTTGGAGCTCTTTCATTGGGAGCATAGATATTTATTGTGGTTATTTCATCTTGTTCAATTGTCCCTTTAATCATGACATATAGTGTCCATCTTTATCTATTATGCTGGTTTTTGCCTTAAAGTTTATTTTATCAGAGATTAGTACTGCCACTCCTGTTTGCTTTTTATTGCAGTTAGCTTGGTATATTTTGTTCCATCCTTTGACTTTTAATCTGTGTTTGTCTCTGTGTGTGAGATGTGTCTCTTGCAGACAGCATATTGGAGGATCTTGTTTTCTTATCTATTCTGCCACCCTCCATCTCTTAACAGATGCATTTAATCCATTTACATTCAGTGTAATTATCGATAGGTATTGATTAATTGCTGCCATTATGTTTGGTTTTTTTGTGGTGTTGCTGCTTCTTTGTTCTGTGTGTCTTCCTTTGTTGAGTTCATGATTTTTGTGTTCTTTCTTGTGAGTTTCCTCAGAGTTTTAATGTTTCCATGTTCTTGGATTTTCATTCTCTTGGTATATTGTAAAGTGTTAATTTTCTTTGTGGTTGCCTTATAGCCCATTAACTTTTCTCTCCATTTACTGCAGTCTATTTTATCCTGTAATCAACCTGACCTTCTCACTATCTAGATCTCTTGTTCCTACGTGTTTACCTTCTTTTACATTGTTCTTGTTTTGATCATAGACTGACCTCCCAGGTTCTCTGAGTTAGTTCTTAAGGTTTTTTTCTGCTCTCAACTCTTCCTTCTGTTGACTTAATTCAGGGAGGTGCTGCCACGTATGTCAGTCTCTGGTTATTGTCTGTTCTTGTTGGCTCTCAGTCCACAGAACTCCCTTTAGGATGTTTTGTAGTGCAGGGTTGGTTTTGGCAAAATCACTTAGTTTCTGTTTATCCTGGAATGTTTTGATTACACTGTCATATTTTATTGATAGCTTTGCTGGATAAAGGACTCTTGGTTGGCAATTTTTTTCTTTCAGGGTTTTATATATGTCTCCCTATTGCCTTCTTGCTTGCATGGTTTCTGCTGAGAGATCTGAGCTTAATCTGACTTGCTTGCCTTTGTATGTGACACTTCTGTTTTCCCTGGCTGCTTTCAGAAGTGTCTCCTTATATTTGATTTTGGAGAGCTTGACTATGATATGTCTTGGTGATTTTCTTTTGGGGTCTATCCTTCCTGGGGTTCATTGAGCTTCTTGAATGTTTATCTTTTCGTTTTTCAGGATGTTGGAGAAATTTTCTTCCAGCAGTTCTTCAACTATTTCCTCTGTGGACTTGTGTGATTCTTCTTGTTCTGGAATGCCAATAATTCTTAAGTTATTCCTCTTCATGTTGTCCAACATGAATCTTAGACCTTCTTCAGAACTTTTTATCCTTTTTTGTGTTTATTCTTCTATCTTAGTGATATTGAGAGATTTGTCCTCCAGCTCACTGATTCTGCCTTCCATCTCATCTGTTCTACTACTCTGCCCTTTCAGAGTGTTCTCTATTTCTGATATTTTGTTATTGATCATTTGGACCTCTTTCTGTAGGTTTTGAATTGTTTCCAGTGCTTTATCTATCTTATTTGATTGTTCCTGTAGCACTTTCCTGACTTCTTCCTTATTTTTCTCAACTCCATTGTAAAGTGTTTTGAAACATTTTATAATCATTTTTCTGAATTCTTTTTCAGGCATTTCCAAAGTCTGCCCTCCTTCCAGAATGGAGTCCAGGTGTACTTCTAGGTCTTTTGTCTCAGACAGTTTATCTTTTTTCTGGACATGTGCTGATATGGTCATCTGCTTTTGCTTCTTGGACATGTTTATGTTTCTCTGTGGCCTAATACTTAATTGAGTATGTGTTTTGGTATTTTTTTTATGCTTTCTGATTGCTTCCAGGAAGATGTGATCAGGATGTGGGCTTCCCTTTTCACACTCTTCTTATTGCTTAACTCAGAGTAACTTTCACAGGTGCTGTCTGTTTCCTGGTATCTGGCAGTTGGTATTGGTTCTTGCCTGGGTTTTGGTGTTTTATAGAGTGCGATTGTAGCTTGGCTATATGGCAGCAATTGCTGACTCTTCTTGTGTAATATAGGGAGACAAAGAGTCTTCCAAAGGCAGAAGCGGGGGCATATAACAGCAAAACAACACCAGCGAAAAAAAATGGAGAAAGAAAAAAAAGAAAGAAAGACTAAAAAACAGCAACAACAAAAACTAGACTGAATGCTGCAGTCTCTAATCACAGAAAAGGGACAGGAAGGAGAGAAGGAAAAGAAGAAAAAAGAAGGGGGGCGGGAAATCTGTAGCCTAATATGAGTATTACTTTAATGTCCTCTCTTCAGTTTCTTGCTTTCAAAGCTGCCTGAGAGATTTCAAGATGCCACTGTTGGTTGTTATGCTGTACCTCAGGCTTTAATTTTAATTTACAGCCTGTTTTGTTTTTAAACTCTCTTTCGCTCTCTATAGCCCTGTTCAGAAAAGTTCAGGGCCTGCTCTTAGGCTGAATATCTGTGCACATGCATGACAGAAGAACCCACCTGTGGTAAGGGTGGGGGTTGGCCACACACTCAGGCTCTCCCTCTAGTCATCAGAATGGAGGTGGGAAAACATTGGGCACGCCAATGACCAGATACCAAAAAAAAAAGAAAATCGGAACAAAGCAAAACTGACAAAGTATATTGTCCACCTTTGTCCAAAGGTTCCCGCTGCATTTTCCTTGGTGTTTCTGCTCCCCTTGTTTGGTCTGGCCCAGGATGTTGGCTCCAAGCCTGGCCCAGCAAATTCAAAAGTACGTGATTTTTTACTTCAGCTCCAAATTCCACAAGTTTTAAGCCATCAAACTTTTAAAATATTCCTATCTCTTTGGTTCCGAGTTTTGAAGCTCTGCCCTGGATCTGCTTTGCCTGGTATTATGTGTTATTGCTGACGGCAACCTTCACTGCACCTCTACCCTAGCTGCTATCAAGCCCCGCCTCCCTGAACATAGTATTTTGTAGTGTCTGTTTAAGTCCTCTTTTGAATTTAAATGAGAAACATTTTTCAGTGTCAAATATTTCAACAGTATTTTATTATAATATTTAATTAAATGGATTTACCATTTTTAAAAAAATAAGATTTTATCAGCCCTTCCTAGACAGGTTGGATACTACTCACTGGGGACTCTACCTTCCTCCATGCTCTCTGGATCTGGGTTCAAACTTGAAAGCTTGTGGGCCAGTCGCTTCTTGCCTTTGTAGCCCCCCGACCCCCATTTTGGGTAGCCAATGTCCAAATTGCCCATCCCTGCCTACTCTTTGTGTGGAGGAGGTGGGAATGATTCTTGCAGTAAGGATTTGTTTCCTCTTTTGAGCTACTGCATCCATGGGTGTAGGTCAAGTTCATCAAATTGTATCAGTTGACGCTTTTTTCCTCTTCTTTCTTCTTCGGGTTGAGCTCTGATCATCCAGTCATTGAAGCCAGGTCATGTGGGTATTACCTGCAAGTGTGGGTGTTCTTGCGTGTATCTGCTCTCTTCTTATCAGCTGGACGCTTCATTCTCCACTCTAGTCCTCTGTGGCTGTGTTGCTGACTCTGAGCCTAGGAATCCCCAGGTCTTGCCACACTGCTGGCCGACCAGGTCTCCACCAGGGTTCACAGGAGTCTGTTGAACATTGTAGGCTTTAGCTCGCTGCGAGACCATTGTTCTTGGGCGAAGGGAAATCAGAAGCTAAAGGGAGGCATCAGATCCACAGTTCTGAGCTGGAGCCTGAAGGAACAGAGTGTCCTTGGTGAAGGTGTTGAAGGTGAAGGGCCGCGGCCCCTCCCCCATCTTACAGCTTCTAGGAGTATTCCATGACAGTTAGGGGTTCTGTCCTAGTGAGTGGGTGAGGGATCCCATCCTGGATCAGGCGCTCAGGTGCCTAATAAGATGCCCCCCCAGGTCTTTTCCAGAGTCTAGGACCTATGATGACAACTGCTTTGCCTGAGGAAAATATTTAAAAGATGATGGACAACTGATGAGCCTGGCAAGGAAACGGGGCAATGTTGTTGAGGATAGCTAAAGAGACAAGGAATTCTGCAGAGGGGAGCAAAGACCTTTGTGGTGAACTCCAAGGGTCACGAGGGTCAAGAGGAGAAAGTGATGAGCAGCAGACACCACCTGGGAAGGAAGGGGAGGGCTGGAAGGCAGCACATAGTGGAAGCGAGCCTAGGACAGGTGAGAAAGTGCAGATCCCCACTCCCCAAAGAAAGAGTCATTTGCCCATGGCCCATCACCAGGAGTCCATGCTGGCCCTGCGATGGACATCTACCTCCAGCTGGACATTACAGGTGCTGGCCTCAGAGCTCAGCCTGATCGCTTTCATCCTGCTGCTGGTGATGGTCTTCTCCAAGAAATGGCTGTACCTCTCCAGGAGCCGCTTCTACCAGCGCTGGCCAGCAAATGTCAGTGCTAAAATTCACACCAAGGCCCAGATCATGTCCATGGGACTCCTGCATATCTGCAAATCCAGGAACTGTCACAACCTAGAGCATGGGAAAGAGACTTTTAAACAATGGACAAATCAGCCATTCTATGGGGTGGCCAAAATAACCTTCTGCTTGGCCCTTGGTCTGGGCTTTGTTCTCATCATCTGGTTGCATCTGCCATACTTGCCTGGTCTACAGAGGTTGCCTTCCTTTGGCTGGATTGGGACCATCATGAGCTTCTGTGAAGGTGCCCCCTAGCTCTGGAAAAGGTCTTGAGTTTCTCCTAACCCACTCCTTCCTGGGCACTTCTCTCTTTCCCCTTTTTATGGGTTTTGTGGGTGGTGAGAGACCAGAACTAGTAGTTGTTAGTTGAGAATTGTGATACATCCTTTCTCTGCCACTCAAGAGGTGGAGGTAGAGGGGCTGATTCCCATGAACCTCTGGGGCCATGACTCTATGTGTGGTGATGGGAGTTGTGGTGTGTGGCTGTAGCTCAGCAGATGAGGAAGAGTCCCTGTGTGATTCTTGGATGAGAATGAGACTTATCCACTTCTTGTCTCCCAGTCACCTTCATTTTCTTCACCCTCATGTTGTTCCCTATTAACCTCTGGATCTTTGAGTGGAAGAATAACTTATCAATTCCCATTGGCTGGAGCTATTTCGTTGGTTGGCTGGTGTTTTTCCTATATGTTGCCTGTGGTAAGTGGCCCTAGGGGTCCTAGGGAAAGAAGCAGGCATGGGTGGGTCAGGGCAGAGAAAGTGTGGAGGCAGAGGGATGGCATTCCCCAGGGATAGGTCCTTAGGGGCTTATCTTCCCTTTGGCCTCACCCTGTTTTCCCTCCCACTCTTTAATTTTTCTTTTCTCCATTCTCTGTCCTTACCCAGCAATCCTTTGCTACTTCAACCAAAACAATTTCTGGAGTCTGGTTCTGACGCGACCCTTTGGCACCGTGTCCTGCAGCAGTTTAAGTTCTGCTGAAAACTTTCTGAATGAGGACATAGCGACTACTGGCCGCGAGCTGGAAGCCCAGAATCTTCGGGAAAACTATATCCCTGTACCCTTTCCTGAGGGCTCCTAGGCATCAGGTTCTGTCCATTTTTCTGAGTCCCTCTCCTCACCTTTCCCCCAGCCCTTAAATATGTTGCCCTCTCATCAGTGGGAAGAGTCAGAAAGAGAAGACTTTAGGCCAGCTTTGCTTTCCTCTTCCTTGTTCCTGCCTTGCTTCCAGCTTAGGTGATGTGGAATAAATTGTCTCTTTTAAAAATAAATAAATAAGAAATGTATCTATTTTGTACATTCTTGAAATGAGTGTTCCCACTGCTGTGGAGTCCATTCTGACTCACAAAGACCCGGTAGCACACAGCAGAATTTCCCCGTACATTCCCAAAAGCTGTGGTCTTTATGGAAGCAGATGGCCACATCTCCCTGCCATGCAGTCTTTAGTGGATTTCGCCTTTTTTGGTTTGTAGCAGAGCGGTTTAACCACTAAACTACACCGGTGCTGCTGTAAAATTAACTAGACTCCTAAAATGAAGGTTGTTGTTATTGTTGTTAAGTGCCGTCGAGTCGATTCCGACCCATAGCGACCCTGTACAGGGTTTCCGAGGGTGTAAATCCTTATGGGAGATAGGTATTTTTTATATTTACTTTCTAAATATCCTAAATTTTCCTGTTCACTTATTAAAAATGCTGCTAACCTAGCAACTAATACAAGGGGGCTTCAAAAAGTTCCTAGAAAAATTCCAGTCATCTTCACAAACTTTCTGAAGCTTCTTCATATTGTAGAAGAATCATTAGGAAATTTCTCGTCTCTATTTAACATAAAAGATTGTTCCTAGTTTATGACAGCTGTACTTCCAATTTTAAGTTGAATTAAACTTCACTGGTTAGTGGCATGCTTGGGTCACCTGTGACATAGTACAAGAATATGCCTGGTTTGGCATTCAGAGAACCTGTATTTGAATATTGTCAAGCCTCTAGCAACTACAAATACTTGGGCAAGTCAATTTACCACATTAAACCTTAATTTCCCCCTTTGTAAAGGCATGGACTCCACAGCATATAACCACCACCACCACCAAAGGCATGAACAAAAATAGTTCTCAAGATCATCATCAGTATTAAATGAAATAATATAAAATCAAAAACACCCAAGTACATAATGTGTAGCCGTAAGTAGGCATGAGATGAATATTGTTTGGATGTGCTTAAAATTTGACCAATTTGAAGAACTAGGTGTCATTTTATTTCTAAAAATTCTTACAATTTTATATTGAACCTTCTTAAAATTGAGAAGGTATACAATTCTTTAAGAAAGACTTTTATCTACTATATTCAGAAATATAAAAAATCATGATTGAGCTGACAAATGCAAGATATGTTGTAAGGGAAAATTCAAATTTAAGTATTCTCACACAAATGACATTACTGCAGAGTAAAGAAGCTTCTTGAGACCTTTAAAATTTTTGTCAGAGTTGCTAAGTCAATAATGTATGAGTAAAAGTAGCATCACCATATTATTTTTGGAATTGGAAACATCATTTCTGGATTGGAATAAAAGATATTAGCGTGAGCTCATAATTTTTTATTTAAAATTTTTCAAAAATATTCATATATATAGCTAGATACAGAAATAAATACACATGTGTAAGTATGTATGTGGATTAGTATTCATGCATATATTTCCTAGTTCTGTCTGTTGACAGGGCCTGGAAGTACTTCCAGGAGCAATGAGCATGTAGGGCCTCATCTTGGTTTCTAAATGAAATTCTTCAGTAAATGGAATTAGAGCTCTTTGGAGAATTCATTGATTCCAAGACTGTAAAGGTCATCTCAGAAACCCTATTTAGGGTTGCTGTGAATCAGTCAATTCAGTGGCAGTGGGTGTGGGTGTATATAAAATGTAAATATTAGAGGAGCCTTGGGTGGAAGATATATAGGGAAGTCTCCTTTGTGTTATAACTGTTCTACAAGTACAAAATTATTTCAGAATTTTTTTAAAAAAAGGTTTTAAATGTCAAAGTGTATTCAACCCTGCATTTATGATGGAGAAGTAGCAAGCAAAAGGATATAGTGTCAACTTGCAGATCAGAGAGTTAGAGAAGACCTTAAACTAGAAGAATGTTTCCTATCCTGCAAAGCGAGGTTAGATCTGGGTAGCATGGAGAGAAGACACAAGTGATTGCTTTCACAATGCTTCCCAAACATCAGAAGACAATGTGGGGTCTTCTTATTTTTCTCTGGTATTGGAGTCTTAGTGTGCAGTGCTGTCGGATAAACATTGCACTGCTAACCAAGGTTGGTGGTTCAAACCCTCCAACCACTTCTTGGAAACCCTATATGGGGGTCACTATGAACAGAACGTACGTAGCAGCACTTAACAACAACCACACTGATAAGGCTATTTTGTGTTTGCTCTCAGATGTTTAGGGAAGGAATGAAAGAATTTGGTTGGTATGGTAAAGCCTTAATATTGTCCGTTCTGTGTGAATGAATGATGATAAGAAACAAACCCTGCCTAGTGATGCTACTTGGTAATGCACACTCTTGTTCATTCTCACTTCGCTGTGTGCTTTTAGGCAGAAAGCTCTGCAGGCTGTGAATGAAGTAAATGATGCAATTTCCTATGAATAAATAAAAAGGCTTTTCTTTTTAAGTGCCTTTCCATTGCCACTTTTTAAAGCTGACAACTAATAAATTGCTCAAAATTAGCTGTATGCCCATGCACTGGGGAAGGACAGTAAAACTGGTTAATGGTGAGGGCTGCGTAGTCAGGCGTGGTTTCCATTCTGCAACTTAGAAGCCAACATATAACCTCTGGCAAGCACTTAACTTCTGTCCTCCTAAAATAGAAGGATACCTCAGAGAGTTACTGAGACTAGTAAAATCGTCTTCAGAGAACTCAGAGCAGCTCCTGGTGCATTGTAAGCACTCTGAAACAGACAATAATGACAACATTCATTCGACAAACACTGACTAGTCAGCTGTTATCTATGGACATGGTGCTAAGTCCTAGGAAGATAAACAGAACATCTCCCCACGCTACTCTCAAGGAATTTGGTCTGGTGGGGGAGAAGTGAAACAACAGGCATCATAATGAGCAGTAATGTTGTTAAGTGCCATCGAGTCTGTTCCGACCCATAGCAACCCTAGTCTAGAGGGTTTCCAAGGAGCAACTGGTGAGCTTGAACCACCAACTTTGCAGTTCAAACTGACTTTGCAGTCTAGCGCCACACCAGGACTCCAGTGAGCAGTAATAGCTGCCGTTAATTGTGCACCTCTGCTGTACTTCATCACAATGCCAAAGCATCCTGCGTAGCTAGCCTCTCTACTGCAGCACTCAACAAACTATTTAGAAAGTGTTGGTATTGTCCCCATTTAGCTAATGAGGAAACCAAGGCTCATAGAAGTTAAGTCATTTACCCAAGATCTTACATACAGTTAATAAACAGAAGACCCAGGACTGTTCTTCCTGATGACAAAAACCAGCTATTACTACTGCCATTCTAATTTAGTTGTATACATTATCAGTGTCCAAACTTCATTAGCAAAGGACCAGCTGTACCTGACTCCAAAGTCTTCCTTACCCCATACATCAGATAATTGTTGTTGTTGTTAAATGCCCCCGTCAAGTCAGATCTGACTCATAGTGACCCTGCATGGGGTTTCCAAGGCTGTAAATCTTTACTGGAGCAGAAAGCCTCATCTTTCTCCCATGGAACTGCTGGTAGTTTCGAACTGCTGACCTTGAGGTTCGTAAGCCCGATTCGTAAGCACTACACTACCAGAGCTCCTTACATCAGATAATTACACAGAATATTTTAAGTGCTATTGTGTATATATGTAATACTGTTACAGCTTTAGTGAGCCTGATTTTCTTTCAGTGTTTCAAAAAGAATGTTCCTACAGAGTCAGGTCTTCCTATTTTCCTCACTTAACTTACACAGAAAATAGAAGTAAGCGGCTGTCTAATACCACTTTTCTTGTAAGTTCATGGGAAACTTCCTTTGCCATAGATAAGACAAGCCCAGGCTGAAACTGGGCTACCCCAGGCACTCTGAGGCTTCCCTAACTTCTCTGGGCTTTTCCTGTGACCACCAAGTGAGAGATCCTCAGGCCACCTTCCTGATAGGCCTCTGTCCCAGGCACTCCTCATGATTCATCTTCACCAGAGTATGGGGAGTTCAGAATGAAGTCACTCTGTAATGCCTCTTTAAGACACTATTTACAATGCTATTTGGAGACTTGGTTTTTTCACATGTGTTTGTACTGATCCTGTGATCTGTTTAAATTACAGCATTTATTATACCTATTTTAAGATCTTCAGACAAGCATCACAGAGCTTCTTGTGCTTTACTGTATGAACTAGCTTAATTTCCTTTCTAAACCTTACTTGAATGTCTAGTCCTTAATTCAGAGTATAGTTTTTCTAAAATTTCTGTTCAGAATTACATGTGCACCTGGGTTATATATGTGAATTGAGTTAAGTCACAGAGGTAGAATTGAGAAGATGAGGCCTCCCTGGTCATCAGTTTGGAAAGCTAGTACAGAACTGAACTGAGCAGAAGTTGTCATTGACATCCCGTTTGCCTCGTACCCCTGGATGCCAGGCACTGATGTTCTACCAAGATGTACCCTCTTTGTCCTCTAAACTCTACCTGCTGCTCCTTATAACTCAGGTGGCTTAGGCACACCCTGTGCTGATATGGCTTCATTAACATAACAAAGAAGCACTGTTTTCTAACAGGATTACATCCAAGAGTGCAGTCATTAGGACTCCAAGGTGTATTGGGGGAGGAGGGACAATTCAGGCCATAACAATGGTTATAATTTATAAAGTGTGAGGAATTTGTTTCTTTAATTAAGAATATGAGATTATGAAAAGATACAGCAAAAAGGTAAGATCTTAGATTTATGTCATAGCTAAGTAAATTTGTCTTCTACCTTTAATTTCTATGCATATTAAAAGCATCTGCATGCAATATACATATTCAGTGTCTCAAAGCTATAGATTCACATGACTAAGATTGTAAGGGAAAGGACATTAGTTATTCTGAAATATATAATGCCACTGTGTTCCCTAAATGAGTATATCAGTGATTTTGATGATAAGTGACCTGTGGCTGGGTGTAGGCCAGCAATCACATGCTTGTGAGCTATTCAGATGGGTATCTGCCTGATCAGGACCAACATCTGCAGAGCAGTGACTTGGGAACACTGATACAGTCATGTACTACGTAACATCCATCCAGGAATGTTCAAGTGCATATCCACAGTGGTAACAGAGTTCAGAAACACTAATCGAGGAACAGGATGTAGCAGGCATCCCCAGGCACACTGAATGTACCAGCATCCTGCATACAAAATGCTTGTACTGCCAGCTGTGCTAGAATGGGTGGACACATATAACTGGTAATGCACATATACAGTCATAATAAAATGCCTGTGTTACTGGCATGTGTGTGTTTACTGCACTGTACTTTCTATCATTGTTTTAACGTGAACTTCCCTGCTTACAAATAAAAAGTATAGCAGTATCTGCTTCCACTCGTAGGCAGCAGCATTATCGCATGTTTTGAGTGTTGCATTGTAATCTCTGTTTAATTTTCTCTTGAAAATATTACCATGAAGCGCATCATGGCTCCCAAATGCAGCAAAACCTATGCTGTTGATAGCAGCAGCAAGAGAGAAAGGAGAAGTCTTATATGGAAGTGAAGCAAAGGTTATTCACACAAAGGTGGAAAATCAGTAAATGCTATTGCTCACAGTTGAGTTACTTTTGCACAATGCCCAAATAACATAGTGTCCTGTTTGACAGGCATGAATACACTCAGTGACCTTAAAAGTTCTATGTTGTTACTCTGCTGTGAGGGCTGAGTGTGCAGCCAGTCAGCGGGTGGTGGTCAAGGAAATACCTTTTGAGTTTTACTCATTTGCTTCTTTTCCCATTGACCATAATAAGATAAAGGGCTATCGATCCTTTGTTGGATATTTGAAATTCTACGAAATGTCAAATTCAAGTCAACTGCCCACACCAATGGGTTTTATTTCTACCTTAAAAATAGAAAGTTTTTACGCAGTCTTTTTCTCACTCTCTTTGAGAAGAAAACTTGGTCCATTTATACATTCTTGTAACAACTATTTCTTGAGCACCTACTAGTCACTGTGCTAAGGGCTAGGGAAATATATCCCAAGGTACGTGTCATCCCAGTTTTCACAGAGCAGATAGTATTGCTATTGTTAATATAGTATGTTATAACAGTACGAAAACATTCAGTATAGTTTAAGAGCAGAGATGAAAGTAACATTTATTTCCATCCCAATAGATTTCGGTTTTGGAAATTTCTTTAAAAGTGGTGAGCTGCTGACAACGTGGTGTGGTAGTCCTCCTTACGCAGCCCCAGAAGTCTTTGAAGGGCAGCAGTATGAAGGACCACAGCTGGATATTTGGGTATTTTTTTGTTGTTTTGCTTTGCTATGTTACATGCATTTACAATAATAACAGTGACTGGGATTAGTTGAGAGCATCTTGAATCAGATAGCTAAGATAGGACTTCTAGGGACAACTGTTCTCATCATAATTTAATCATTTAAAATGTAAATAAATTTAAAATAATTTCATAATTAAAATTAAACCATAGTCAACATGATTACATTCAGGTCTTTTGGTATTTATTATGGGACAATTTATTGCAGTAATCCTGATTTCATATTTTATCAAGTTCTGAGAAAAACGTTAAATTCAAACAGGATTAAAGGTTTCCATCTAAATGATTTTAAGAACCCTGTTTGGGAATGCAGAGTGTTCAAGTTCCCGTTAGAAATGTGACTACATTGTTTTCTTCCCTAGAGCATGGGAGTTGTTCTTTACGTCCTCGTCTGTGGAGCTCTGCCTTTCGATGGGCCTACTCTTCCAATTTTGAGGCAGAGGGTTCTGGAAGGAAGATTCCGAATCCCATATTTCATGTCAGAAGGTAGCCCGTTTATCTTGTTAATCATGCCTTACACAATTGGAGCTCTGGATGAGATGCCTAGGCAAAAGCTTCCCCTTTCCCTTTTTCTAAGAGTTAGGGTGTCCAAGAAAATGACTGAGTGACCTTACCCAGCCTTCCTACTTGTAAACTGAAAACAATGCCCCAGATTGAGAGCAGTGAGGCTTCTGTAAACGGCCCAGGTTTACTTTCGACTTCAGAAAGCACATCATAGATACAGATTTACAACTCTTTTACTCTGAAGTACAAAATGTATTTCCCGACTTCCTTTAGCAGAAAGCTGCAAACTTAATTTTTGTTTTTTTCAAACTAAAATCCAAGTGGCGATACTCTATTGAAAGAAGAGTCCAGGTTCAATGCCATAATCCCTGCCAGTCTTGTATTGCGTTGTTACATTGGAGGCAGTTTGCTCCTTAGTTTGCTTTTCTGGGTTATCGTCCTTAACTCTTTTGCTCCTAGTAACAGTAGAAATAATGTCTTCAGTAGCTAAAAGCTTGGACCCCAGAGCCAGAAAGACCTGGTTTGAATCCTGAGTCTGCCACTTAAGGCTGTGCAACCTTACCAAGTTACAGCTCTTCTTTTGTGCTTCAGTTTATTACCTGGGAATGGAAACAACAGTAGTTCCCACCTAGGGGACTGTGAGGATTAATTAAGTTCATCTTTATCCAGCATCAGAGCACAGGGTTTGGCACATAGTGAGTTTGATTATGTGGAGATTTGCTTACATGGAGTTATGAGGAAAAGGATGTGAGCTCAGAAAAACAGCTAGTGCCCACAGTTGTAGCAGCTTCCTTCTTAGTACAATCAGAAGTAAGCCCTGTTTCATATACATTCCTCTTAGCAATACTAAGAATTGCAGGAGCTGTTTGCCTCACTTCCATAATCTTAGCATTTATCAGCCTTGGAAGTGACTGTGGATCAATTTGCTTGTTCTGGGAATGAGACCTGTTTTATCTTTAGTGGAAATATAAATCTCTGTCTGCATATTCATGGAGTTAATAATAATTAGTAATTCTACTAATTGAGTTGAAAAACTGATAGTAGAAAGACCTTACTTAGCATGAGTAGGCCCACACCCTTGCGTTTTCTTAGATATTCATTCATCTGTCATGTGAACAGTACATAGAAGTAGCCTTCATGCGTTCACACACTCCTCTTCACTCTTGTGCTACAGTGAGCACTGTAGAAGATACAAACACTAAAGCCATTGTATAGAGTCACATGAGTCAGGCAAATTCACTGAAGTGCAAGGTAATTGGTGTGACTTTTGTAACATTGTGTTTTCTCTAGGTTGTGAGCACCTCATTCGCAGGATGTTGGTCTTAGACCCCTCCAAACGACTAACCATAGCTCAAATCAAGGAGCATAAATGGATGCTGGTAGAAGTTCCGGTACAGAGACCTGTTCTTTATTCACAAGGGCGAGAAAACGAGCCATCCATTGGGGAGTTTAATGAGCAGGTTCTGCGATTGATGCATAGCCTTGGAATAGATCAACAGAAAACCATTGAGGTAAAGTGATCCGAGATTAGCCCTTCTGGCACAGTGAGTTAAGTGTTAGGCTGCTAAGCACAGGGCCAACAGTTGAACTTCACTAGATGCTCCACAGATGGCAGGCGAGGTGATCTGCTGCTCTGGAGACTTTCAGTCTCGGAAATCCCCTGGAACAGTTCTATTCTGTGAGTTGGAATCCACTCGACAGCAGTGGGTTTGGTGTTTGTTTTATTACACTTCTTGTTGCTAGGAACTGTCGAGTCAGTTCCGACTAACAGCAACCCTGTATGAGGTTTCCAAGGAGCAGCTGGTGGGTTTGAACGGCTGAACTTGTGACTAGAAGTCCTGTGCATATCCTACAGCACCACACTGGGACTCCTTTAAGTATACTTGTTGTTGTTGGTTGTTAGGTGCCATCGAGTCAGTACCAACCCATAGCGACCTTATGCATAGCAGAACGAAACACTGCCCCATCCTGGGCCAACCTCACTACTGTTGCTACGATTGAGTCCATCGATGCTGCCACTTGGCTAATCCATCTCACTGGGGGTCTTCCTCTTTTTCTCTGACCCTCCACCTTAGCAAACATGATATCCTTCTCCAGTGACTGGTCCATCCTGACAGTATGTCCAAAGTATGAGAGACGAAGTTTGGCCATCTTGGCCTCCAAGGAGCACTCTGGCTGCACTTCTTCCAAAACGGAGCTATTAATTATACTTAGTAACTTGCAGTGTCATGCTCACATTTGTTTTCCTGGTCTTTGACCAGCTCCATCCCAAGTACATAGGCATACTACTCTCAGTTTGGCCTTTTCTGTTAGTTTTTTCTCAATATATATTTTTTCATTGGTCCAATCTGCAAAAATATTCAAGAGCAACGGGTTGTTGTTGTTGTTGTTGTTGTTGTTGTTATGTGCTGTGGAGTCGGTTCTGACTCATAACAACCCTACACAGGGTTTCCGAGGCTGTAAATCTTTACAGGAGCAGAAACCCTCATCTTCCTCCCGCGGAATAACTGGTAGTTTCAAACTGCTGACCTTGCGGTTCGCAGCCCGATTTGTAACCACTACGGTACCAGAGCTCCTTCAAGGGGTTATAGAGATTCAAAAAAAGCAAAGACAGAAGCATAACAAATACAAAGTAGAAAATTGTTTCCAAGGTGAAGCCTGACGTTTTCTAGAGATAAACTAGTTTGTATGGACCATGAATGCACAAACAGGGAACTAGGCTGAAGGCTGAGCAGAAAACCAGAAGGTGGGTCGGCATCAGGTTTAAGAAAGCCAATGGACTTGAGATGTGAAGTGGAGAAAATGAGAAGGCAAAAACACAAGGCTTCCTGATTTAGGAGTAAAGTACTAGGGGCCATAGACCTGAGAAAGCCATGAGCCTGGAAATTCCTCTTGACTTTTATTTCTGCCCTCTAACACCATATTCACAAGATATAAGAGGTAACTTCAGAAAGGTCATGGAAAAATGGAATTAAAAGATTAATGGAAAAAGTTTTTTAAATAAAAAAGAAAATGGCACTTTTCCATGAGCTTTCTGAATCCCCCTGGCACAGTACCTCCACAGCGGTAAGCAAAGTCATACATACAGTGCTCCTACAGAGGAAGCCTCGCAGGCAAGAATACAGTGCCCCATTGGTTGCTCCCTCTCCCTCCATTGTAGTCATCAGTTTGGCTGCCTGCTTTGCTCTTCATGCACTTGGGGTTGCTCTTCCCAGCTTGTCCAGGAAGTGACCCCTGAGGGGCAGAGGAGAGTGCAGGTCCTGCTGACTTTTTCTGGGAGTGCCCGGCATCTGCTAGGCAGACTCATCAGCCAAAGGAGCAGTGTTTCTCTGTTCCCTTCGCATCCTGGGAAAGCTGGCAGGCTAGAGATGTAAGAAATTGGGAAGCAACTTTATTTTCAAGATTTCAGAGGGTGGAACTGTAAAACCAAGGGGAAAAAATTACTTAAGAACCGAGACACAGTGTCTTTCATTTTAGCATCCAAGATGTCATTCTCCAGCCCAAAATAGTCACCAGAAAGCTCCCCAAAGACTTTCACTCATTCACTTCAGAGTTTTGAATAGTTTGGACATGTGTTGAAGCTATGGGATTAGAACTTTCTGGCTTAGGTGGGTAACTGCCCTTCCACCATAGTTACAGCTGTGCTATGGGACCATATGATAACATTGGGAAATGTCCCTATGAGAAAATGATGATGTTTTCTCTGCTTAAAAAAAATAATAAATGGATCCCATTAATGTGAAAGGGCCAGTCAAGTCATTAAAAGTATCACCTTTTATTTAATTAATAGGAGAGAATTGAAATTTTCTCTCTTCTATGTAAATTCTGGAACAGCTTTTATTTTAAGGCATACTTTGCGACTCTTCATGATTCCTTCCCTCTTCCTTCAGAAGGTATGAATCACTGATGACTTATGGTCCTCTGCCCTCAGCTCTTGTTTTCTCCTCTCAGTCTTTGCAGAACAAGAGCTACAACCACTTTGCTGCCATTTATTATTTGCTGGTGGAGCGACTGAAGTCACACAGGAGCAGTTTTCCCGTGGAGCAGAGACTTGATGCTCGCCAGCGTCGGCCTAGCACTGTTGCTGAGCAAACAGTTGCCAAGGTAACACCCTGTAAGCCAATAGTCTTATCTGTGCAGGTGCCTGTTCACATGTTTGACACATTTTTAATCTGGTAGCACAAGGAGTTAGGATTTCATCTATACACTCAGTTATTCTCTGAAGTGTCTGCCTCTGTTTCTCATGGGGTTCTCAAATATGTTTGCACCGTTTTTCTCCCCAGAGTTAGGGAGTTTATTAGGGAAGTACCAGGTTACATTTCAAGATCTGGAATGACTCAGGACACAGTTCTTTGGTCAGTTAGCTGTAATTGCAGGCAGGCCTCTTCCTGGCCCTCGGCCCCTCTGCCTGGAATTCTGCCTGCTCGAGCAAATGTTAAAAAGTTCTTTAGTTCCACCAACAAGTGCACACCACTCCACCAGTAAGCCTCAGCCCAAAGCTGCTTAGCTCTCGTTTGGTAGTCAGTGAGTCTAGCTCTACCATGTACCTGGAGTCACCCCACTTTGCCGACAAGCTTCCTACGTGAAGGTGCTCAGCTTTCTCCCTCTGTGGCTGGGAAGCCCCTTCACCATCTCCTGCCAGTCTTCTGATTTCTGCTGCTGCCACGTCTCTGCTGCACTTGCCCTCGCATGCCACCACTTCTCACCGTCCCACACCGTCTCCAGTGTTACAGCTCTGTCTCCTGGGGCTGGGAGTCTCTCAGCACAGGGACCTGGGTCCAAATGACATGCTCTTCTCCTTCTTACTGTTAAGGATTAACTTTATTTGAAATGTTTATTTTCTTCAAGAGTTTTTTTTTTTTTATTCCACTCTCTTTTAATTCCATTTTTTCATTAACTTTTTTTTTAAATAAATGTTTTATTGTGAATTATATGATAGTTTACGTGGGAGAACATTAGTTTTACTTTCATTCTATCGTATATCGTTTCATTGCCATGGTTACAATCCCCTCCATGCATCATCAACCAACCAACGGGTATACCCTGCAAGCCTGTGCCCCATCCCTGGTCTTCAGCACACACACCCTCTCCCTCTCTGGATCTCAAGTCCCCAGCTGCTCCATCTCTCCATGTCATCGTCTCTGCCTCCATCTCAGGCATCACTGCTTCTCTGGGTAGGGTCCCACTCTCTGCTCTTCTCCATTGATGGTCCTAAGGACCTCTGCTCCTGGACTGAAAAGTTAATCACTTTTTGGTTTTTTTAAACCTTTCACTATGTAAAGAATTACTGTAACTAGCTTATACATTGTTTATTTTATTAATGTAACAAATGTTTGTTACAGATTTCCCATGTGCACAGCTTCTATTACTAAGGGATAGGATGTATAAAGCACAGACACTGCCCTCAGAGCCGTTACAGATAAGAAGGGAGATGAGAGATCTTATACAAGCTCAGACAAGAGATAAACAGCCAGGAGTCACAAGAGAGAAAGATAAGTGCTGGTGAAGAACTGAAAGCAAGGTGTTTCCAGCGCATCTTGGAGCAGCAGTGGAGACCCAGAGCAGGTCCCTTTGGTATTTAGCTGCTCTGACCCATACCCTTCTGAGGTTGGCATCACAGCTATCTCTTTGGGTAATTTTTAACCTAACAAGCAGTCAGTGATGATTGGGTCTTGCTTGGTTGGAAAAGGTTAGACACTAATTTTGGGGATCTGAGTTCTGTAATGTGTTTATTAAACCAATTAATTGTGTCCTTTAAAATTTCTTTATGTTTACTAATCCTTATTTACCCTGTCAATCATTAAAAGAGGTGTTGCGATCACCTGGTATGATCGTGCATTTATTCATTTCTCCTGAGCTTCAGGTATTTTCATTTATATATTTTGAAGCTATTTCCTTAGTGGCAGATGAGCTAAGGATTGTCATCTTTTTCTTTGAACATTATTAAATGAACCTTTTAGTGAGTTTAGGGGGGGGGAAAGCAAATGTAAGATTTGTTCAAATTAATCCACTTGACATTTAGAACGTGAAAATATTGGGCTAGTAAATTGAAGCACTATTGTAGAGAGCTCTGAAAGCTTACATTAAGAGCTTACTTATATTGTTGTATATTATATCAAAACTGTTAAGCTGAAAGGTGATGGAATTTATCTGTGCTTCCAGCTGACAACTTGGGAAGGATGAACTAACTTGAGAAGGGAGGAAATTTGGGGCAAGCAGTTGAGAAGTCATTATAATAGCATAGATGGAAATACTGAAAGCATATATATGGAAGTGGAGGTCAGAAGAAAGGGACCATTTCAGAAGTAGACTTTATGAACTTACCAGTCATGTGGAGAGGCAGCTCAGCATGGGGTTAAAATCAGGGACTTGAGCAAAGCCCAGTCTTGCCTTGTTCTGCTGCGTGGCCTTTAAAAAAAGTTACTTAAGGTCTTTCTGTACCTCTGTCTTCTAATTTGTAAAATGGGAGTAATAATAGGCTGTTGTGAAAGTAACTTAAGTTTCGTGAAGCACTTACAACAGTGCCTAGCACATAGTAGTAAGCAAGTGTTTATTACATGAGCTAAGAATCACTGGGGAGGAAAAGATAGCCATGAGTTAGAGATGTCTTGTGCATTGGTCTGAGAGAATAGTAAAGGTTATGTCTCAGTTGTTCAGGGAAAGATGTGGGTCTGAACTCCAGGAGAGAGAGCAACTAAAGAGATCTGAGGAATCAATATGAGAAGGAGAAACAAATGACCACCAGTGTTAATTTTATTCTAAGAACTTTGTATATTCATGTAGAAAATACTGATGTTCCTGAACTGTCTGTTCTTGTTATACTGACAGGCACAAACTGTGGGACTTCCAGTGACCATCCATTCACCAAACATGAGGCTGATGCGATCCACCCTCCTTCCACAAGCATCCAATGTGGAGGCCTTTTCATTCCCAGCGTCTGGCTGTCAAGCGGAAGCAGCATTTATGGAAGAAGAGTGTGTTGATACTCCAAAGGTATGGAAGTGTTTGAGACTTGGAACGTAACTGGAGATTTAAATTTAGTCTATAAATATTGAACTTGGTCATTTCCTGCAGTCCCTCAGGAGTGTTGTTAGTGTGGGGAAGACCCTAAGAAAAGTTCCCAGGGCCCAGCTTCAGCTCTTGTCGGTATGTTGTCATTACAACTGCCACATAACTTGTCACACTGCGTAACTGCTTTTCCATAGCCTTCTTAACTCACTTTTCTTAGCCATTCCTTCTCTAAGTTTTTAGGCCCCTTACAAGTTTGTGTTGTTTCTTAACAAATTGTAATTCTGAAAACAACAACAAAATAATAATGCGATGAGTCGAGGTTTACCTTTCTTCTGCTGGATGTGCACCAGCTACAAAATGGTAGGTCGTCTTCCTGTGCCTGTGCTTATAGGAGAAACCATTCTTTACCATAGTCTGATGGACAAGTGGACTCTGAAGATATGGAAGATGAGAGCTTCTCACATTCAATGGCTGTTTCTTTTAATTCTGTGTGTGATGAATACTTAGCAGAGAGTGGTGTGCAGAGCTGTATTGTTAATGCCAGACTCTGCTCTTTACTACGGTGTGAACCTGAACAAGTGAGTAGCCACTCTGAACTTCAGTTTGGTCTTATATTAGATGAGAACAATCCCAACTTTTGAAACTGTTGTGAGAATTGAGACACTGTGTTTGAGGTTCTGGGCAGACTGATAGATACTCTATGAGTATGTTTCCTTTCTTACTTCTGTAGGTAGACAAGTCAGACATGAATTCTGCCTTCAAGTTGATAGTCTAGCAGAAGAGACTTAAACACACAGCTAAAGATAAATGTGCTGGATGCTGAATAAATTGAAAAAAGATGAAATATGATTGGTCCATCCAAATATGTAAATCAAAGTGCTGTTGAGACTAGAAGGCAGCAGGAAGGGATTTCTTTCAGTTCATTTTGGTCAGGAAAGTCTCTGGGAGAACTGTCAGAGCTGAGACTTGAGAAGTGAGGAGAAACGGGCTGGGTGGAAATCAGGGCATGAGATATCCTCAGTGGAGGGAAAAGCCTGAGAAAAAGCAAAGGATTGGAAGCGCTGAGGCCCTTCTAAGGCTAGTCGTAGTTCCGTTTGTGTAGGGAGATTTGACATGAAGGGATCTGTATGAATGGCAAGCTAAGGAATTTAGACTCTTTCTCCTCTAGGCTAGTGTTCTCATTGTGTTAGGTGCATTTCAGTGTCATCCAAGAGTGTGTTCAAATGGATTTCTCCAAAGTGGCAGGGAAATTGAGTGCTTGTTAGCCCGAAAGCACTGTGATCCACTGTGCTTCAGAAGGACTCGCCTAAAGGACATGTAGCATGGATTGGGTGGGGAGAGACTGGTCTGGTGACAAGGCAAACTGAAGGTCTACACAGATCTGTCCAGGAGGTGGTGAGGGTCTAAACAAGCTTAGTGGTCATGGTGCTGATGAAACTGGTGGGGGATAGTAGGGTCCAGAGAGAAGACTGCAAACTGATTAGGAGGTGTTGGGCCTAGAGGATTCAGATCTCAAGAACACTGCAGGAAGAGCTGATTCTGAAGTTAAATGACTGAGTCCAGCTAGACTGATGCTAGACTGCAAGTTACTGCCCATGTGTAATCAGTCCCCATGCCTCCGAGGTTGAGCCCTCCACGTCCACTTCTATGGACATGGTTTTCTTTGCCTGTGGTTCAATAACCTCATCGTGAATGGTTTCCGCATTCTCACACAAAAATGTAGATATGATTTTGAACAGCATAAATCATTTATTTTGAAGCTGTAAGGATGCCCATTATAAAATTTAAATGCTGTCTGCTCTTTTAAGGCTGGTCTGCAAGGGCATCAGGCTGAGACACAGATTGGGCTCTGCCTGCGGATTATATGGGGTGAGCTATTTTTAAGCTTGTGATTGTTACTGTAACTAGGAAACAGACAGGAAATGAATGATTTTGCGAGACATACAGACAATAGCTAGGTGGTACATTTGCATTTGTAGGAAGAGCAGCGCTGTGCTGAAACTGGTCACCATGCTGGCAGCGCCACCCTGGCACTGAGTCAAGCCATAGACATTTGTGGACCAGGTCCCTCTTCCCTCTCCAGTGCCTCTTTGGTTGGGGCCCATGAATAAATGCACAAAAACGCTATCACACAGAGATATACTTCCCTGTTTTGTTCATATTGCTTCATGTGCATTTAATAGACTAGCACTCATTCACTGTTTTCTAAAAGATGATTTCTTTCACTTCATTTCTGCTCTCAAATGGTGGCAAGTATTGTGCATCTGAGAGAGAAGATGATTCCATCTCTCTTTCCCTCCCAGAAGTCTTCAGTGCTTAAGCAGTAAAATCCTTTAGGGAGTCTAGAGAGACTTAAGTTTGAGGTTCCAGCAGAAAATAGCAGGATACTTGGATCAGGTACTCCGAACAGTAGCTGAGATCCACAAGTGAAGCAGACCATATGAGAAGACAGTGGTAAATCATGTAGAGGAAATCTCTCTCATTTGGGAATAATGGATTGTTTTTACACACACACATATATCAAAGTCACTTCTAGCATTTTATTAGAGATTATTATTAGAGTCATTAGTAAAAGGATTTTGCAATTTACCAACTTCTCGGCTGGATAGAAAAAGGAAACTGTGAGGCCAGACCAGGAAAATTCAAATGTAGCAGCAATGTGAAATGTCTCTTTAATTTTTAATGGCTGTTTCATTATAAAGATAGTACACAAAGGGATATACCTCAAACTCTTCTGAACTTGAATTTTTAAAAGAATAAATGTATAACATACCACTGAAAAAACAAAACTAGTCATACCCATATATGGAAAATTAAGTGGAATTGTTGTTAAGTGCCATCGAGTCGGTTCTGACCCATAGCGACCCTGTACAGGGTTTCCGAGGGTATAAATCTTTACTGGAGTATAAAGCCTCATCTTTCTCCCGCGGAGCAGCTGGTAGTTTCGAACCGCTGACCTTAAGGTTCGCAGCCCGATTCATAACCACTACGCTACCAGAGCTCCTTAAGAAAAACCTTTTTTTTCCCTTTATCTTCAGTCCCACTCCAGAAATAAGAATGTTGTTTCCATAGAGTGAGTTAAAGATGAATGCATCAGTGGGGGTGGGTAGGTTTAGAGTGTCTCAGTAGATAGGTTGTTGTTGTTGTTGTTTTTGTCGTCGTTAAGTGCCATGGAATCAGTTCAGACTCATAGTGACCTTATAAGGGTTTCCAAGGAGCAGCTAGTGAGCTTGAACCACCGACCATGAGATTCAAAATGACTTTGCAGTCCAGCGCATTAACTCACAGCACCACACTAGGACTCCCAGTAAACAGGTAGACTTATATAAACAAAATTGTTTTCTATTATATGTAATTTTGTATCTGATTTATATGGTAATGTATCATAAGCATTTTTCTCATGTCCTGAGATGTTCTTTGAAATCATGAGTTTTAAGAACTGCCTTGAGTCCAGGTGTGGCGCTATGGGTTAATGCACCAGACTGCAAAGCTGTTTGAACTTCAAGGTGGCAGTTCAAGCTCACCATCTTGAACCCTATACAGGGTCGCTATGGGTTGGAATCGACTCAAAGAAACTTAACAACAACAATATTTTCTTATTTACCAATTCTCCTGTTATCGAATGTTGTTGTTGTTCTTATGTGCCGTGGAGTTGGTTCTACTTATAGTGACCCTGTACAGGGTTTCCGAGGCTGTAAGTCTTTACAGGAGCAGAAAGCCTCATCTTTCTCACGCGGAACAGCTAGTAGTTTCGAACTGCTGACCTTGCGGTTCGTAGCCCAATTCGTAACCACTACGCTACCAGAGCTCCTTATTGTCGAATAGTAGGTACTTTATTTCGCACTTATATGTTTCAGGTAAACATTTTTTGTGTAACTCTTTGGCTGCATCTCTGATTATTTCCTTAGGTGAAATTTCTAGAACTAGGGTTGTATGCTTCTTTAACTACTCACCTGGTTATTTATCGTAACTTGCCTCAAGCTATTGAAAATACTTTTTAAGGAAATGGCATACTTTTATTCTTTTGCTTTTTAATTTTTTTTATTGCTATAAAGCATGATTTGCTCAAGAAGTAATAATAGATAAAATGTACTCAATACCTAATGCTAAGTTACTGTATGGTTCATGTAATTTTCCTAAAGAAATTTGCTCCCATTTTACAATGGGGGGAAAAAAAAAAAGAGCTTTATCAAGGTTGAGCAAACTGCTAATAAGTGATGGGGCTGAGATTTGGGACTATAGTTAGTGTCTCCTGAGTATATCCCAAAGTAGCTAGGCACTTAGTATGCAAATAAGGCAAAGTCTGAGGGCCAGAACCCACCGGCTAGTATTGTACACTGGTCTGCCAGTCTCCTGTCTGGAATCCTGTACTGTAGCTGGCTCCTGGACTTTATCAGTTGGTGTTGGGGTCTCCCATAAGTATGCCATCTGCTGCATATGAGGTATCTAAGAAGAATTGAAGTTCTCAATTAAGCTGTAAGGAAAGACAAAAGCAAAGCAGTGTATTAGAAAATGCACATTCAACCTCCATTGTATTCGGAAGCCCTGTAATTTATCCTTAACATTGATTTCCTAGAGCAAACGATCTTGTTTCCAGCTGGTTGAGGTCCCTTAGTTGATGAGCCCCACAATTCTGGAGCTGAAGTAGGCTCTTATAGCAAGTCCCTGGTAAAGTGGCCGGCAAGGGTAAAGTGGTTATCTGCTGCTGCAGGAAACCCGAACTTACAGCAGCTGGGCCTTGGCAGCTCCACATGTTGAATGTGCTCAGCGGTTCAAAGTCACCAGCCATTCAACAGCAGAAAGCTGTGGCTTCCTGCCTAGGTAAAGACTTACAGCCTTGGAACCCCTGCAGGGCACTTCTGTGAGTCAGAATTGACTCAGTGGTAATGTGTTTGGGTCATGTTAAAATTCAGTAACTTATCTAAGTTATCAGCAGCCAACTTATCTAAGTAATGGCTACAACCCCAGAACAGATTTTATGGAATAACCACCCCCCCTTCCCCAAACAAAGATCTGAGTCACCCAGATCTCCCTCTCCAAATAAAGGGCCTCACAGCGCCTTCAGATTGGTTGCCATAAGAGGAAAGTTCCCTTACATCTGGCACAGCCAGGTCCCACGTCACCTCTCACACACATGAGCGTCTCCTGCTTCCAAGGGAAACAATCACACATCCCATGTGCTCCAGGTGAAAGCGCTGCATAGAACCGGGTGTCGTTTAACAGGCTGCTCCTGAGCAGCTATTCCGAGGAGAAAACTGATTGGTTTCCACCAGGGAGTAGTTAAGTTAATGAGGTAAATAATTGCCTCCTCTTTGGGGTTTTTATCAGCCAAGAGAACTGGCAACCACAAGTCTCCTTTGTGTGTTGTTTCTGCCTGCCATTAGGTGGTTTGCTTGGCAACCTGTTATGGGAAGTCAGCCTTCTCACCTAGGAGCCAGGCTGAGCTCATCCCTCTGGGGTGGAAATGATCATCTTGTGTGTACTGCTGGTGAAGACTCTATGCAGTGATGCTTAGTAACCTCTGTTGGAATTTGGGGCTTGTGAACCATTTGTTGTTCTATAGTGGAAGTCTTTGGCTGTTTGCCATTTCAAAAAAAATTTGTTTTTTACTTTTTTGTGGTATCAGTCTTTTCTAAGGAGTTCTTTTCCATTCTTCAAGCTCATCACAGCCAGTTACAAACAAACTCAAATGAGCAAATACTTAAATTATGAACATAAAAATGTCTAGAATTTTTTTTTTTTTAATTCTAACTAATATGCCAATACCATATTTATCTAAGTGACCTTCCAGTTGTTATTTGCCTTCCTCTGAAGACTCCTGTGGGGAAGAGGGCACTTGTGCCTGTATAAATGAACACTCTGGGTTTTGTTATCTCTGTGAGCCTGCTCCCAATATGTTTTGTGATTGAAAACTAGAAGAATATTCATAACTACTCCTTTTTCTTAACTATAAGCCATGCACTTTGAGGGCAGGTGGGGGTAGATCTCATATTTCCCCTATCCATTTCCTTTATTAAAAAAAAAAAAAAGAAACCTGGTAGGCCTCAAGCTAATTTGCCCCTGTGCATCTGGAAACCACTAAAACACCTATTTGTTGTACTAATGATGAGTCAGAGAGACGTGGGAGGCAGTGCCAATTTGGGTCATAATGGCCTGTCTCCTCAAAGTGCTGCAGTTGGCCTCTACATGTTATTGTTGGTAACACATATGTATGTTTCTGATACTTTACTCAAGCCCTAGATTCCCACAGGTCGGGACACTTTTTCTTTGCAGACTTTGTGGACATGTCCTCTCACCCCCTCTGTGCAGGTAAAAGGCTGTCTGCTAGACCCTGTGCCTCCGGTCTTGGTGAGGAAAGGGTGCCAGTCATTGCCCAGCAACATGATGGAGACATCCATTGATGAAGGGCTGGAGGCAGAAGGAGAGGCTGAGGAAGACCCCAGTCACACCTTTAAGGCGTTCCAGTCCACACGCAGTGGGCAGAGACGGCACACTCTCTCAGAAGTGACCAATCAGCTGGTCGTGATGCCTGGCTCAGGTATGACCGAACTTTTCAGGGTACGTCTTCACAGCCTCCTCTCATATTACAGTCTTTAGAAATGCACTCAGTTCTTAGATTTTTGCTTAGATCTGATTCCATTCTGGACCAAGTTCAGCCAGCTATTGGGAAGGGCCTGCCCAGCAGCTCCCAGTGGATAAGGTGAAATGTCTGAGTTGGCCATCCTGGCACCCAGGGGTCAGCTTAGCACTGTCTGGCTGTAGATTGCTTTCCAGGAATCAGTTATTGCTCCCTGAAAATCCTAGCTTAGACATGTCAAAGTTCTAGGAAAAAAAGTACCTGCCATATATTAAATGACCTTGCTGCTGTCCAGATTCATGCTGTTTTGCTTTGTGTCCAAACCATGCTTTTGCTGTTGGTTAGATCTGGTTTCTCTGATCTTAAAGGGAAAATTCTCTCCGTGAGTGACAACCCCTCACTTGGCAGTGTGGATGCTGAGTATGATATGGGGTCTGTTCAGAGGGACCTGAACTTCCTGGAGGAAAACCCTTCCTTTAAGGACATCATGTTGGCGAATCAGCCCTCACCCCGCCTGACATCTCCTTTCATAAGCTTGAGACCTGCCAACCCAGCCATGCAGGCACTGAGCACCCAGAAACGAGAGACCCACAACAGGTCACCAGTGAGCTTCCGCGAGGGCCGCAGAGCGTCGGATACCTCCCTTACCCAAGGTGACCATTTTCTCTTCTGCCTTTAGCACTTGGGTTCACTGGAGAGTGGCTGCCATGTTGTTGTCGCAGCTGTCATCGCTGAAAGGCCTTGTGTGTCATTTAAACCATTTGCTCATTGTGCTTTCTTTCAGGAATTGTAGCATTTAGACAACATCTTCAGAATCTGGCTAGAACCAAAGGAATCCTAGAACTAAACAAAGTGCAGTTGCTATATGAACAGATAGGATCCCAGGCCGACCCTCACCTGGCTGCAGCGGCTCCTCAGCTCCAAGACATTGCTGGCAGCTGCCCTCAGGTGGGTACCCTGGGCCCTTGTCACAGTGGTGCTCTGAGTGCAAGGTATGAGTTTGTCCTAATATGTGTCATTTTCATTTAGAGGATTTACTCTAGTTCTAGAGCAAACAGGTTCTTCCGGAAAGCCAACAGCCTGAAAGCTTTCCTTGTTACTACCATCTGGGACTAACCGGTTAGACCCGTCCACATGGCCCCGAGTGATTAGGAGCAGATGCAGGCCAAAACATTCTCAAGCTATGTTTAGTTCACAAGACCCAAAATTTGATATGGAACACCTCTTACAATCTCCTTTGAAGTCCCACACAGTAAAAATTAAAATCATAAATGTCACTCTAATGAGAAGCTTCTTGTCACTGCTTTGATTGTGATATCACTTCATTAAGTACTGTAAGTGGCAAAAAGTCCAATAAATATTGCTGCTTGTCCCATCAACTTTATTCTGTGTCTATTTCCAGTGCAGCTAGATCTTGTAGTATTAGAGACCATGTGACAGAAACCGCCTCCTGGTGGCACCAAGAGCCCTGCCCTAGCACTGGCAGAGTTGACTAGAGTAATAGATGTATGAGCTTCTTAGACATACACATCCACTAGTATGCTGTATAGAGTTGGAATTCTTGGACATTTGTGAAGATGCTTAACCTAAGAATTAAGACTTTACTCCCACAGGGAGAATTGAAATTCTCTACCCCCTGTTCCTCAGGAGGAAGTGTCTCAGCAACAGGAAACTGTCTCTGGTCTCCCTAACAGTGTGCATCCTCAGCTTGGCCGGCAGCAAAGCCTGGAGACCCAGTACCTGCAGCACAGACTCCAGGTAGGTGCCTCTCACATGCAATCCCAGCTCATATCTCTCATCCAGAATATGCACTGCTGCAAAGCTGAAACCTGTTTTGCGTGGGATTTATTTAGGGTGGCTGCTTTATTCCTTACAGCCAGCTAGGTTTGTCTCTGCACTTGGAGTTCCTCGAAACATGTTTAGACTTAACCGTATGCTCTGTGTTGGCAGCAGGAAAGTATTTGTCCTCGGATCCCAGGAAAGGTTACACCACCTGGATTCTCTGTTCTGATTTCATTCCTCTTAGTAAATAGTAAATAAAACGAAACTCATGAGTCTGCAGTGTTTTTAACAGCAGTTTTCTATGTTGATAAATGAAAATCGTAAAGTTCGACACAATGTAGGTTCAATAAAGAATGAAGCATGCCCTCATTCGTCCCACAGCCACGCAGCCTGTGCTCAAAAGGTTTGACTCCACATGAGTCATTGTTGCTAAACCCCAGAAGTTCTCACAGTCCTACAGGATTCTTAAAGGGAAAATTTGAAGCAGGTCAGACTGGGACTGACCCAGGCCTCCTGGCTCAGTGTTATTTGACCTAACGGCTCTCCTGGGGGCTCGTGAGCAAGTGTCAGTCTCTCCATTCTGGAGGGCATACTTGGACTCGTTCCAAAGCAGGAGCAGTCTGATAACTCCGTCCTGTTATTAGTTCTGACGCACGGTGACTCCATGCATGCTGAGTAGAACTGTGCCATATGTGACCTTTCAGACACTGATTACTAGGCCTGACTTATGAAGTGTCTCTGAGTGGGTTTGAACCACCAGACTTGGGCTCATCTGAGGTTCCAGCATCTTCTCATGCGTATCTTGTTTCTCTGCTCTTCAGAAGTCCAGCCTTCTGTCCAAGACCCAGAACACCTGTCAGCTTTATTGTAAAGAACCACCCCGGAGCCTTGAGCAGCAGCTGCAAGAACACAGGTGAGAGCCTGTCTTTGGCCAAATAAGTCACTCTGTGTTATGGAAGGCTCAGGAATAGTGTGGGTATACTGTTCTTTCCCACACAGGTTTGCCTCTAATAGGAAACAAGGTTTTTGATGTGTGAGCCACACAGTCTTTTCAGTCACTGAAACATGATAGCAAATGCGGATGTGGTGGTTTCCACAGAGTATAGGCCTGTCAGAGGACAACAGCCATAAAATGTGCTTGGTTTTCCATTTCTTTTGGCTTTCCCCATTTTGGATCTGAATAGACTAAGCGTTCAGAATCAGTGACCTCATGCAACTTGAATGGGTCTTGCTGCAGAGAAGGTTCTTGCTTGCCGGATCTGTGCCCAGGCCTCAGCAGAGCAGCAAGGTGGAATCATCTCCACCCATCAACCTGCAGACACACACACGGGCCAAGGTGTCACTTCCCTTCTGAACCCTACAGATGAGAAATCTACTTCTCATTTCCTAGGGAGAAAATCTCAGATGTTGTAGAGAACATCCAACAAAGTATGAGTTTGTGTTCACTTTACACTGAGGGATCAGTCAGAATTGGGAGGCAAAACACTGAGATTCGGTATAAAAAGCTAGACATTTGGTTCCTAATCCAGCTTGCATCCTGCCTTGGGAAAGAGAGAAGCAGGGTGACTGCAGCTAATGCCTGATAAATTGAGAAGATTTACAGTGTTTCCTTTTGATATTACCAATTTAGGCTCCAGCAGAAACGACTCACTCTCCAGAAGCAGTCTCAGCTGCAGGCCTATTTTAACCAGATGCAGATAGCGGAGAGTTCCTACCCACAACCCAGTCAGCAGCTGTCCCTTCCCCACCAGGAGAGTCCCCCACCGCCTCAGCAGCCACCGCCGACATTCAGACTGGCTCAGCCGCTGAGCCCCGGCCTAGAGCCTTCTTCTGAGCAGATGCAATACAGCCCTTTCCTTGGGCAGTACCAGGAGATGCAGCCGCCACCGCCACCACCTCCTCCTCCTCTCCCGCAGCAACAGGGAGCTGCCCTACCACCCTTCTCCTATCAGACTTGTGAGCTGCCGAGTGCCACTTCCCCTGAGCCAAACTACCCCACTCCATGTCAGTATTCTGTGGAAGGAGCCCAGCCGAGTGGCATAGCAGCGCCAGACTGCCCCGGGAGCTCAGGACTGCAGGAGACTCCCTCCAGCTACGACTCCTTAGGTCTGTCTGAGTTACCTGGACTCTTTGATTGTGAAATGCTAGAGGCTGTGGATCCACAGCACAATGGGTATGTCCTGGTGAATTAATCTCAGCACAGGAGGTGAGGTGGCTCATATGAAGGAAGAGTGTGCATTTCTATTTTTATTCCAGCCTTTTAAATGTAAAGCTTATTTTCTTGCCCTGTCTCTAATGGGGGACAAAAAAAAAAAAAAAATCAAGTTACCCAGCCGGAAGCAGAGGGTCTGACTGGGGTGGCTCTGCCCCATCACAAAGTTTTCTGTGGCAAGTTTTGGAACATAGTTATAGGCTGAAGATGGTGCCCTTCGGTCCAGTGGAGCAAGCTTTCAAAGGAGGCACCCACACCTGTTTTTATAAGAAGATAGTCAGGCCTGGGATTTGTGCAGAATGACACCAGTTCATTCTTAAGGGAAAAGCCTTCATGAAAGCAGGAAAATGTGTGCCATTGCATATCCATGCGCAAAAATAAATGAATTAAAAGGCAATATATTTTTGACTGAAGCAAACCAATGACGTAAGAAACTTCCAAACAAATCAAGAATGCACAATGAATGGAATATGATGCACAGGAAAGATAGGAATGATGTACTTGGTCATTCAATTATACATTCTAAGCTGCTGATGCAAGTTGTTCCCAAAGTTGTTGCAAAGCAGTGGAGTGTGAGCTTTGTGTCAGGGTCCCCTAAATGACGGTACTGACCCCCAAGACTGGCATTTGCCTCCACATGGGAACAGGCAACATGCCTCTTCAGAAGGTGCCTCTGGGTGACATCGTGTCAGGGTGTGTGTACTCAAGAGCCCCAGAGGTGTCACCTGTGGAAGCAGCAGGAAACCCACCACATTGGGGTAGGGGTTGGGGATAAAACCTGCAGAATCTAAAGCATCTAAAGCAGCAGACCTGGGCCAGGGGATGCCATGTTCTTCCTGAGCAGTCTCTTGTGGAGACTTGTGGTGTGAAGCAGTCGGTCCCCAGAGGGTCAGCTGTCTCGTTTCACATGTAAGAGCTACTTTGACTTTACACTCTCTTTTGCTAGTAGTTTATTGAGCTGTGTATATTTGGAAAGTTTCATATAGGGCTTAGACATTTTAAGGACAAGAAAAACGAACTTCTATCTCCCATGTGAAGTGGTAGTGCCGTGCCTTCCCCCTTCCCACCCCCAGATCATGCTTTAATTCTTTCTTTTCTGTAGAAACCAACAGTTTTCCATTTATATTGATGCTAAATCCAAAGTCACTTCAGAGTTTGTTTTCCACCATGTGGGAATTAGCATTCTTAATTTCCTTAAAGTTTCAACGTGTGATGAAATGTTGTAAGTATCACAGCAATATTCAAAGAACCACAGATGTGTTAACCAGTTAAAGCAGATCATCTGCCAAACATGTTTTATTACTAGTAAAACTTAACCTTACCCCTTTCAACTCATGAAAGTCAGAAAGAAAAAAAAGTTCTAACAAGCTACAGCTAGTTACCTGTGTACCTAGAAGTAATGAGTAATCAATCTGTCCTTTGGACAATAACATTCCAAGTGTTAAAAATTCAGTATTACTTAGATCATTTCTGCCCTTTAGAAAGGTGTACCCTACTGGCAGATGAATGCATTAAGCACAAAGCATCATCCTTAAAGCACAAAGAAGAGAGATACTATGCTGATGCTGCATCTAGAAAACACCTTTAAGTTGCCTTTCCTCTTTGTAATAAATGTCCAGGCAGGTGAGGAGAAGCATAGGAATTCTAAGACGTTTCATTCAAGCTGCCCTGTCCACCCCACCAACACTGGTCACATGAGCAGCCCTTGTGGTGGCTCTGCGGACATATTCTGCTGGGGCTGGACTCTAGGTGTTAGCAAATAGTGTGAAGAACTGTCATTTTTGTGATTTAACAACATGCAGTAAAAATCTAGGAAGAATGAATTGTGTTCCTTCTATGAATTGTTTATTCCTTCTCGTGCTTAGAATAAATTATTTTTGTGAAGTAGGTAAACATTTCACTTGAGAGTAACAGGATGTCAATAGGAACTCTAACAGACTGAACAATTATTTCATAGTCTTAATCAGCTAAATTCTGACTCATTCTCTTATTTTTTGCTATATTGATCTCTCCAATCTGTTTAAAGTTTTTGCAAACCAAGTCAGTTATAAAACAGGGCTTGATTTGTTGAGACTGAAAGAGGATGTTTTCCTAAAATATACTACAGAAGCACTGTATTTATGAAATTTATTTATGAAATTTACATGCCTTCCAGATTGAAAATGGAGGCCACTCATTCGGAGTCGCAGGAATGGTGTGGTGACAGATTTGCATAAACCTCTGTCCTCCAACAAGGCAGGACAGTCAGGCGGAGAAATGAGGGGGGAGTAGAGAAGCTGTTGGAAGGTTAAAGGACCCAGAAATAGAAGCCAGTACACCCCCAGCAAAGGAGCTCTGGTAGCGTAGTGGTTACGAATCGGGCTGCGAACCTTAAGGTCAGCGGTTCGAAACTACCAGCTGCTCCGCGGGAAAAAGATGAGGCTTTCTACTCCCGTAAAGATTTACACCCTCGGAAACCCTGTACAGGGTCGCTATGGGTCGGAACCGACTCGATGGCACATAACAACAACACCCCCAGCAGAGGCCTAGGACTATCATCCAATGCCATGGGCACTCCTCTGACAAGTCACAAGACCCTTCCTGCTGAAATGAATCTGTTAAGCTCTGATTTGCTTGTCTCATTATTTCAAGTAGAAATCTGTGGATCCCATACCATCTGTTCTTACTGGATGTAAGCTGGTCAGAGGAGACTGGTTCTGTTGGTCAGCTGGGTGTTTTCCCAGCTCTGTCTGCTCATCCCTGCTGTTCTGTCTCCTAACTAATCACCTGTGTACACTTCCAGGCTGTGTTCTCCTTATACATACTAAAGTAACACTAAGAAGGCTTCGTACCACTCCTTACATGAGAGGCTACTTTGAAATACTGGCTTTTTTTTACAGTCAGTTTCACATGAGCAGCATATACACTACTGTATAATAATCATCCGCTTTCTGATCTTGTAAACCAGGCTCCTCTGAAGAGACTTTGGTGAAATTAACGTGAGGTAAAATTTCATTCAGCAAAAAAGTGCAATATGTGTGGTACTTTATTTTTTATGTTTTTTAATTCAGGGGTATTAAGTCTTTGCTTTGGGAAAAATGCACTAGGTCTGCAATTTCCAGTTGGGCAAGTGTGTCTCTAGTTATTTACATGCACCTGATCCCTGCAAGGCAAACATAGCATGTTAGCACTGAAGAAGAGGGCCGAGTGTCCAGTTTGCAATTTTTGGTGAGCTACACTGACCATCCCCAGCCACCCGCTCGCCCCCTCAGCCTGCATTGCCCACTCCTCTCTGGGGAAGGGAGGAGGGCACAGGCTCTTCTACACGACAACCTCCAATATCCATGTAGTGGGAAGCAGGTGGGCCCCACCAAGGAGAAACAGGAGATGGGTTAAAGGACTGTTGTTTCTAATGTGGACTTTATCAAACTATACCTCCTAAGAAATGGCCCTTTCTCAGAAATAATGAACTCCCCGGTGTTTATGTCCTGAATGAATGAAGTGGACTGGCAGGTCCTGGGAGTGGAACTAATGTCAGACCTGGCCTCTTGTGTTTTCTTCCTGACTAACCCCTAGGAGTGGGGAACTGGGCCTTTATGGGGTGGGAGGTCTGCCTTGTGTGAGGAGTACCCTCCTCTTGGCTACACACCCCCCCCACCACCACCACCTTCCTTGAAGGCCTGGGACTGACTGCCTACCGCTGCTCACACATGGGGCATCATCTATGCCTAAATGCCAAGCAGTTCGCTGAGAATGTGAGCTTCTTGTTAGAGTTGGGAAGAAGAACGTACTCTCAGCTAGACTGATTCGGAGTTCAGCCAGAACTTAACAAAGGAGAAGCAGCAATGTCTAGTTCTAGTTGGTAAAGGGTCCCCGGTTAAGTTGCAGGCTGTGGGGGATATACAGACAGGGTGAAGTCAGGGTTGATGCCTCTGTGGGTGTCCTCCCATCTCTAGTCAAACCTCTGGTACTTAAACATTAGATTCAATTTTGGGGTCAGAGTTTTTCGGCTCTGGTCCATTCAGAATTGATCACTCAAGCTCCTTTTTAATTTTAAGAATGTAAGTTATACTCCAGATAACTTACACTCCTCCCCAGTTAGACATAGTAGTCAATGTCAGGTGACAGTTGTGATCCCAGTAACTAGTTTGGGGACCCCTATGAGCGACTCTGACCTTTGCTGCATTCTGTACCCCTAAATTGGGCTGCCATTACTGCCTCCGCGGTAGCCACCCGAGCCGCTCAGTCTCTTTCTGCCTAGAAATCATCCGAGGCAAAAACTGGAGAACAAATAATAAGTTGGAGGAACTGTATAGACAGGAATCTTTTCGTTGCTTCTAGAAATTTTTACAGGATTTTCCTTCAAAATAAAATGTGGGAAATGAGAGCAGTATTGTCTGCCTCAGTTTTCTAAACTGGATTTAAAATCTTTAAAATATGTATCTACATATACTTATATAGTCCTCCTGACAGGTTCCATAATACAAGATAGGACACCTCCAAGCCCATGGCCCTGGGAGGTGACTGGGCTGTGGTGCTCTCACAAATGTAACCCTCTCAGCCCTGAGCTTCATATTTGTCTTACATTGTTTTCCCCCAATTAAGGTAATCGGATTATAGAACCCTCACGGCCACCCTGGTTGCACCACCATCTTATCAGGACATATTTCAACACACTGGGCAGACTCAAGTACATACTATTGGCTACACTGGGAAATAAGCAGAGGTCAGTGCTGCCAATACTTTAGTGATAGCTTTGAGAACTCCTACCCAGATAATACTCAGCATGGCTGTCCCAAAGGAACAAAAGCTATATGATGTTTGTACATGAATTTACCAAGCACTTTCACAAGTCATCTCTTTTTATCCTCACAACAATGCTGTGAAGTTTGTTGGACAAAAAGTTTTGTTTTTGTTTTTTTTTACTGCTGAGTAAGCCAGAGCTCTTAGAAATTGATGTGATGTGTCTGAGGTCATGGAGCTAGTGAGTGGAGGAACCAG